CTCCATCTCCCCCCATAGCTTTCCTCTATGTCCACATCTGTACATTCCCCCCAACTTCCCCTCCATATATATTTTTTACTCCCCTTTTCCTCCCTGTATCCTCTGTGTTCCCCCATCTCGCTCTACATCATTCTTCCCAAGATCTTTACGTTTCCCATCTTGATCTCTCCATCTCCACTTTCTCCTAACACTTTCATTTCCATTCCTTAGTGTCTCTAGAGAGATCGTTCTTGATAGCCTCAGCTCTTTCTCTGTGTTTTTCAGGTTTGTATTCTGTTCTTCTCTACCTCTCCTCCTTGCCCCTTTTCTCTCCCAGGATGTCTCTCCTTTCCAAATCCTTTTTCTACCTGAATACCTTTTGCCCCACACTGGGCTCCCATTACCACCTCAGACCTTAGCCTGGGATCTAAAGGGCTGACAGTGTCCCTCTCTTCATGCAGATGACAGTCGTCTAGAGGAGCTCAAAGCTACTCTGCCCAGCCCAGACAAGCTCCCTGGATTCAAGATGTACCCCATTGACTTTGAGAAGGTACAGGGTGGGGGCCCAGGACAGGGAAGGGAGGATGGGCAAAGCATAGACAGGCTGGAGAAAAACAGGAGGAGTATCTGGAGACAGCCCTGGGCCTTTGTGGGGATCAGATCGTGGGCCTGCCACATGGCTCTGAATGAGTAGGTGTTCCCAGCCATCCCTTTGTGATCTGGGAGAGTCCATCAGGCAGTTGCAGTGGAGGATACACATTTTCTTTAACTGATCCTCTCCCCACTGCCCCTTCACACCCTCCCCACTCATAACAGGATGATGACAGCAACTTTCATATGGATTTCATCGTGGCTGCATCCAACCTCCGGGCAGAAAACTATGACATTCCTCCTGCAGACCGGCACAAGGTGAGGGGAATCTAGACCTGATGTTCCACACTCCTCCAGGTTTGAGTTACCCACACTCAGCCCCTCTATAGACCCTGAGGCTCTTGTACTTAACTACCACCATTTTTTGTCCCTTCCTGTCTCTCAGAGCAAGCTGATTGCGGGGAAGATCATCCCAGCCATTGCCACGACCACAGCAGCCGTGGTTGGCCTTGTGTGTCTGGAGCTGTACAAGGTTGTGCAGGGGCACCGACAGCTTGACTCCTACAAGAATGGTTTCCTCAACTTGGCCCTGCCTTTCTTCGGTTTCTCTGAACCCCTTGCCGCACCACGTCACCAGGTGGGGGCCCGCATCAGAAGTGGGGTTTGGGTGGGGTATGTCTGTAGATTCTGGTTCTAATTCACGTCATACCCTGTCACCAGGTGAGGGTTTCTGTCTATGTGTACCTACCTTTTTTATGCATCCTTTTTCATTTATTCATTAATCATATTGTTTGAGTACATGCGAAAAGATGGGATATTTGAATTGTGCCCTGGGAGATTATTAGTATTAACTACACAATAATGGCAGCCAAAATTTATTGGATGCTTCCTACACTTATATGCTTTGCTTGCTTCATTCATGAATTCACTCAAATATTTATTGAGCACCTGTTGTGTGTAGGTACTCTTCTAAGTTATGTTCCTCAAGTAGATGATATAAATAACCTATTAAATGATCTTGGAATCAAAAAAGGATAAAAAGAGGCCGGGCGTGGTGGCTCACGCCTGTAATCCCAGCACTTTGGGAGGCCAGGGCACATGGATCACCTGAGGTCAGGAGTTCGAGACCAGCCTGGTCAACATGATGAAACCCTGTCTCTACTGAAAATACAAAAAATTAGCTGGGCATGGTGGTGGGCACCTGTAATCCCAGCTACTCGGGAAGCTGAGGCAAGAGAATGACTTAAACCTGGGAGGCGGAGGTTGCAGTGAGCCGAGATCGTGCCATTGCACTCTAGTCTGGGCAACAAGAGCAAAACTCCATCTCAAAAAGATAAAGAGGACTTGAGAATACCAGGGGGCAAGGGGATGTGTTTGAGATTTTGTGTGGGATGGTCAGAAAAGGCCTTGCTGAAAAGATGACACTTGAGATCAGAATTGGAGGATGTGAGGGGGCAAACCGTGCAGGCTTGGTGGTGAGTGGGGACACATTCCAGGCAGAGGGACCAGTTCTTAAAAGGGTACCAAGATAGGGGTGTGCCTGGCAAGTTGGAGGAATTCAAAGTCCACGGAGTGAGTGTGAGACTGAGGAGAGTAGGAGATGAGAAGAAAACAATTTCAGTGCTTGGGGTGAGATGGGAGCCACAAGAGGATTTCGAACAAAAGAGGATTGTGATCTGACTGAACACGTCTGCATGGGGGTGAGGGGGATGGAGACAGATGGGGGCTGGACCCTCTGGGATGGTCTCCATCTTAAACTCCCCTCTTTGTCCTGCAGTATTATAACCAAGAGTGGACATTGTGGGATCGCTTTGAGGTACAAGGGCTGCAGCCTAATGGTGATGAGATGACCCTCAAACAGTTCCTCGACTACTTTAAGGTAAGGCCCCTCCCTCTCTCTCTCACCCCACCTTGGGGGGCGAGGTGTGCAAGGTGACTTGCTGGCCTGTCCACCCCCATGACCCTGCTGTTCCCCGTCCCTCTCCAGACAGAGCACAAATTAGAGATCACCATGCTGTCCCAGGGCGTGTCCATGCTCTATTCCTTCTTCATGCCAGCTGCCAAGCTCAAGGAACGGTTGGATCAGCCGTGAGTTGGCCACTGGCCAAGCTGGGGGGAGGCCCTGTATGGGTTGGGGAACCTCAACATCCAGCTGTCCCACTCCAGTTCACTGCCCCCACCTACCTGCCCGTCCTCTCTTGCTTTCTGCCCTCCTGACCCTATGCTCCCATCCCCCTGTCCCCAGGATGACAGAGATTGTGAGCCGTGTGTCGAAGCGAAAACTGGGCCGCCACGTGCGGGCGCTGGTGCTTGAGCTGTGCTGTAACGACGAGAGCGGCGAGGATGTCGAGGTTCCCTATGTCCGATACACCATCCGCTGACCCCCGTCTGCTCCTCTAGGCCGGCCCCTGTCCATCCCTCTCCACGCCCCTTCCAGCCCAGGGTTCCCATTTGGCTTCTGGCAGTGGCCCAGCTAGCCAAGTCTGGTGTTCCCTCATCATCCCCCTACCTGAACTCCTCTTGCCACTGCCTTCTACCTTGTTTGAAACCTGAATCCTAATAAAGAATTAATAACTCCCACGTCGCCTGCCCTGCTGGTTCCAGGCAAGGAAGGGACTTCCTGGAACTATCTGGTTCAGATGGTAACTCAGAGGGCTCAGCCCCACCACACCTGCCAGTTTTCTGGGCAAAGGAAATGTAATTGCCACCTCTTCCTGCCCTCTCTGCCTAGGAAGAAAAGGAGGCACCAGTGAGGCCAGTGAGCAGGTACTTGGGTCCATGTGACTATTAATTTGAGCTGGGTTCAATTCTCACCTTCTCCATGTCCTAACTCCCTGCTCTGTGAAGAGGAAAGTTGTGACCAGGCTGCTAGGGCATGGCCAGCATGCCTTATGTCCTTAGGGCAGATCCCCTCCCACCTGGCTCAAAGCACTCAGACCTTGGGCAGCCTTTTGTAGTCATGGTTCCCAGCACCAGGAATGCCTGTGGTGCTCTTAGTTCAATTTCCTTGCTGCAGGGGTGTCTTAAACAGCTCTGCTGAATGCCAGTGCCTGCAGGCATACTTTGCAATTTTTATGGAAATATTTGAGAACCTTGGTAGAGGAAAAGCCCCTTGCTTGTCTTACGCTGCCCCCCTCAGCCCCAGGTCTGCCTGTGTGCCCCTTGATCTTCAGCCTCCTACCTTGGAAAAGACAGCTGGCAATGGGGACTGAGGGGTGTTCATCGCTTAGAGCAGGTAGCAGGAGGCCCAACACCAGCCCCACCAGAACTGCAGAGCTACCATGCTCTGTCCTTGGTCTTCGCTGAGCGCTCCAGATGATTGAAAGCACCAGTCTGACCACTGCCACATCTTTGCCTTCCTCTATTGTACTGGCTCTTGGTGCCTGAGGAATCCATTCATACTTTTGTCCCTCAACTAACCAGACAGTAATTTTATCTACCTTACTAGAAACAAGATCCCTCACTCTTCTACTCAAACTTGAGTGTAAGGAATAGCTCAACCTGTTCTGAACTGGCCTGATTGCCATCACAGCCTGTGCCCACATCTGCTGTCTCCTGGGCCAGTAGTTCCTGGTCCTGGGCACAGTATATGCCCTTGCCCACCTCCTTCTGATTATTTTATTTTCTTGGCCTGCTCTGCGTGGGTGACCTCATCCTTCCACAGTTTCTTCTTCCCCAATAGGACATTGAGGACAGAGGCATTTTCCCTTTGGTATCTAGTGGTGATGCTGTCAAGTGGAAAGTTTTTCCCACCACAGGAACTTTCCCATTATTGCTCTAGAGTATCCTAGACACCACACCGCAGTCCACTGGTCATGCCACTACAGCAGCTGAGGCTTGAACACAACTGTTGTCTTCTTTCTCCAGTATGCCAGCTCCTTTGCAGATACTCTGTAGACACCTTGTTCGCTGCACCTCCCCCATTACAGCTCCATTTCTTCCCTACCACAACTCCTGGATCTCCTTGACACCTTATTCGTACCTGACACCCTTCTCCATCAAAACAAGCTTTTGAGTCATGCATGAATCCTGGTTGCATCTTAGTTGTTCTCCCTCCACCTCATTCCATTTTACTCTGCAGTTTGTCTCCCATTACAACACCAGCCAGAGATCAGGGCTCAGCAGGCGGGGGTTGCGTCATTGCACCGAGCCCCCTGCACCCAGCAGCCACAAAGGATAGGGTGGGACAAAGGTTTCTCTTGTCATTGCCTGGAAATATTTGCCCACCTCCTTCTGATCATTTTATTTTCTTGGCCTGCTCTGGCAGGCATTCAACAAACATTTGTTGCGTGCTGTGTGCCAGTCACTTTCTAGGCACGTGAGACAGCACGTGCCTAGAAAGTGAAAACAAAGATCCCTGTCTTCTTGCGGTTTATGTTCTGCTAGCTTGAGACCCAGAACAGACTATAAGCACAGTAAGCAAATTGTACCTTAGAAGTTGATCAATGTTCTTCAAAAGGCGAGGAACAGAGCCCGATCTGGGGATCTGGAATGATGGCAGTGCAGGTAGGAATTTTTAAATAGGAAAGGCTTCATGGAGATGACGTTGAAGCAAGCACCTGGAAGAAGTGAGAGAATGAGGCACGTGGATGTGGGGCAGGAGCATTCCAGGCAAAGGGAACCACAGCAAATGCAAAACCCCTGAGGCTGGATTGTGCCCGTTTCACTCAGAAACGGCTAGAAAGAGCGCTAGTATGGTGGCAGTGAGTCAGGGGAAGAAGAGGAAGAGATGAGGTCAGAGAAGTGATGGACCTATTCTAGGCCAAGGCGAGGACTTTTGTCTTTGTCAAATGTTTCCACTCCCATCATGGCCCGGGAAATCTTCACTAATATAAACCTTACTGAAAATCCTAACTGGTGTGACCAAGGCTGCCATAAAGGGAAGCCCGGAAGAGGCGGGAGGCTGCTTTGGAACAGGGTAGTGTAAGGATGTGCCAGAAGGCCTGCTGGAGGTTGCAGCCCTTTGAGCGGGACTTGGGGATAGTGTGGTTTTCCAGGCAGAAGGAAGTGAGGGATTAGGTCGACCTGTTAGTGCTTGTCACACAACAGGCGCCCAATAAATAAAATGGAAATAAAATCGCGGAGTGTTCTACTTGTGTTGACTGACATCAAAACAAAACAAAAAACCCGCAGAGTGAGGGAAGGCACGGGCGGGGCTGTGGCGGGCAAGAGAGGTGGCAGGAAAATCCAACGCACGGCGCCTATGCAAATACTCGTGTGAGGCAGAAGAGAGGCTCCGCCCGGCTAGAAGTTCCAAGCATGCGCAGTAGCGGCTCCTGCACCTCTAAGGATCCGCCTCTTTCCCCTTTCTCAGCTTCGCTTTCACCCCGGGAGGCCCGCTGTATGAGATGGAGGGCGGGCTAAAGGCGGGACGAGACCCGATTGAGCGCAGTTGTGACCAATCACCTTGCGGAATATTCGGCCTATAGCGAAGGAGAAGCTCAGAACAAAAAGAAGGCCCCACCCCCGCTGACGGAGAAAACCTATGAAACCCGGGCGGAGGCGTGTGGAGTTGGGTAGAAAGCGAAATCACGCCTCTTCAGTCAGCCACGCCCTTTATTCTTGCTCAGCCTCGCCACAGAGAGCAAATCCGATTGGCTGGGCGACAACCTCAAAGGGCGGGGCTGTACACGTTCACTATGGGAATAAGGTAGCGGTTGGGGGGGCAGATGGGCGGGGATAGGCTGTCCTAGGTAAGGTGGTAAAGGCCAATAACTCTTCAGGCTGCCTCTCCTCGAAAAGTCATCTTCTCGCGAACCTTTAAAATGCCTTCCTCCCCAGGCACCTCAAGGGACTAGAACGGAGTGCTTCATTTCTCTTTTTCCTCCTTGCAAAAGTCCCGTTTGCCACCATGGGGATGTACCAAGTGAGACTGAGTAGGGGGAGCGAGTGGTGATGGACGCGCCAGGTTACTGGCCGCTGCTCACCTAGGCGCTAGCAAACTTCTGCCAAGATCGGAACTGAGTACTAAACAGCCTCCACACTTCTCCCTGGTGCCGTCCCCGGCCTGGCGCCGCATCCCCCTGTGGGCTCGCGATGGCCGCGTCCCCTCCCGCTGCGGACGGGTCCTTTGGTACAGGCAGTCCGAGGTGAGTCCCCTCCTTTCTACTTCACCCTTCCGAGCGCCTGCGTGCGCATGCGCGGAGCGCGGCGCGCGCGGCGGTTGGGCCGTTGGCTGTTCGGCCCTGGGATCCGCCGCCACTCCGCGATCAGCCGGCTCTGAGCCGCGAGCCGCCGTGAGCACTCGGATTCGAGCCGGCGCCAACGAGCCCGGGGGCATCGCCCGCAGCGGCCAAGCTCATGGCCGGCTGAGCGGGACGCCGCCTCCGCCTCAGCCACCGCCGCCGCCGCCGCCTCCTCCTCCTCAGCCGGCGGCGGCCCGGGCCCAGCAACCATGGCTGAAGACTACTGGGACGGGCGCCTGCGGCGAACAGGAGGAGAAGGAGGTCGCGCGGCCTCATCCCGGGCCGCCGCCCCAGGCGCCGCCGCGCCGGCCCCGCGGCTCTGAGGTTGCTCGCGCGCCCCCGCCGGTGAGCGCGTCCCCGAGGCGTGGGGGCTGCCCCTCCTCCTTCAGAACCCACCCCGGGCGGTGCCCAGGGGTCTGGGCTGCCGGGCTGGCAGGTGCCCCCACCCCCGGCGAATTTCCCAGAATGCACCGGGGCGGGGGTCATTTGGGGCCTCCCTGACCTTGGCCCCGCCCTGGGCCCGTCCTGGGAGCTGGGGTGGGAAGTGCTGTGGGTGCTAATGGGGAGCAGGGGAAATCAAAGGACCAAAGGGTGTGGAAATGGGTGACAATGGGGTGAAAGACTTGGGGGGTTTGCTAATGGGGGTCGGAGCATGTGGCAGTAAGCCTCATGCCAATAAGCCGTGTAAGGTTCAAGGCCCCGTGTGTGCTTGTGGAAGGAGGGCGGGGTGCGGAGCGGGTGAGGGACCCGAGGGTGTATAACGGGGGATGTCGAGGAAGTTCCAAGACATGCTCATAGGGGTTATGTCCGCGGAGAGGCCCGGTGTGTGTTCATGGGGGACAGGGTGGCACAGGTACCAGAACGTGTGCTGATGGGGTCAGGGCTCTGAGGCCTGGCGTGTGGCAGTGAGGCCCGGGATGCTGTTAATGCTGCGTGTCTGTCCCTGGGGCCTGCGGTGTGTGAGAATGCAGTGTGTGCTTTTGGAGGGCAGGTAGTTAAAGGACTCGAGTGAGGCGTGTCTGCCAGTGAGGGTCATGGCTGTAGAGAGTGTATGCCTGTGGCCTCGAAGGTCTAGGTAGTTTGGGACCCAGTATATGCTAATGAGGGCAGAGTGGAGGAAGATCCTGAGGGTATCTAATGGAGGAAGAACTGTGGAAGACCTGAGCCTGGCCTAAGGGAGATGCAAATTGTGTGTCTGCCTGGGCCCGGGAAGGGGTGGTGGGGAAGGAAGTGTTTTAGCACCGTCAGAGGCTCAGTGGATGAAGAGTCAAGGTGATGTGAGGTGTGAGTGTGTCCATGGACACAGGGAATGAGAGTCTCGAGGGCACACTAGGAAGGAGCAGGGTAATATAAGAAGTTCTGGTGGTTGCTAATGTGGGTTTAGAGCCATAGAGGCTCTTCAATGTGTGCCATTGGGAGAGTCAGCTGTGTAAAGTCTGGAATATGCTAATAAGCATCAGAACCTTGCAAAGATTGTGCCCTTGTGTCCGCGGAGGACCAGAGTATGTTGAGGTTCCAGGGGGTGCTACTTGGGGGTAGGGCTGCAGAGGGAATCTAGTGTGTAATAAGGGGGATCAGGGCTTTCATGAAGGGATCCAAGTGTAACCAACAGGGATTATATCTGTGGAGGGGTCGGAGCAGAGAGCAATAGAGGACAGGAATGTGTGATGATCTCGGTGTGCTAAAGTGGATTACAGCTAGGGAGGGCTGAAGTGTGTGCTAATGGGAGTCAGGGCTGAATGGAGACCTGTGTGCACTAATGAGGGTCAGGCCATGGTAGAACAGTGTGTTCTTGTGTCCCTGGGGAATAGGGCTGAGTAAGGGTTCAGAGTGTACTAACGGGGAGGCAGGACTGTGTGAGGCCCAGCGTGTGCTAATAGAAATGAGGCCTGAGTGAAGACTCAGTTTGTGCTGACCAAGGGGACAGGACAGTAGAAGGACTGGAATGTGTGTTAATGATGGTCATAGCTGTGAAGGGGCCTGAGTGTGGGTAACACTGGCTAGAGATCTTTCTGTAAGGTTCACTTTATGTTAACAGCATTCAGAGCAGCATGAAGAAAGTCCAGTGAGTGCTAATGTGGGTCAGCTATAGAGTACCCCAAGTGCATGTTAATAGAGGTCAGAATCATGTAAGGGGAACAATATGTTAATGTGGGGAGTCAGTGCTATGGAGAAGGTAAGAAGAAGCTAGGCCAGGGAGGGGCCCAAGAATGTGGTGGCAAGAGTTACTCAGAGGAGGCTGAGTGTGTGCTGACAGAGTTCAGGGCGGTATGTTATGTGTTAGGGCTTTGAATGCTGATGGGTATATGAGATAATAGCAGGTAAGATGTAGTGAGGCCTCCTTGAGGGTCTAGCGTGTATTAATGGGGATCAGGACATAGAGTGCGATGACCAGGTCCTTAGTGGTTGGTGTGGTGAGTATCCTTGAGTATGAGAGTAGTCTGAGGATGGGTGTATGTCTTTGGGGATCAGGAAGGGTCAGGCAGGACATGTGCCCTTTTTGGGGTGAGGTTTTATGTCCAGTTTCTTGCTGCCTCCTTCACTTTTTTGAAATCTAAAAAGCTCAATCAACTGAAATGATATTTAAAAGTTTCCTTGAGTATAAATGTTCACTTATCTCTGTTCACAGGGGCTTGCCTGAGCCCCCCCCATCCCCCTTTCTGGGAGTGTCATGTGATATACAGATTTTATACCCCATCTTCCTAAAATCCCAAGAAACTGAACTCCAGAGCATGTCCAGCCCTTGGGGTTTCCAGTTAGAGGTCATGGACCCATGGCTCCTCCTGGCTCCCTCCCCATCCTCCATTCAGCCCTGCTTCCAGTCTCCCCCAGCCCCTCCCCTACTCCCTGTCGCAACATGCAAAGCAACTGGGTATCTGTGCCATATGGGGACACAAGGTTGTCTTTGGGAGCTGGCCATGCTTTACCTTCCTCGCCTTAGGCCCAGTATTCAGCCTCCCACGTCAGGATGTTTTGTCATTATCCTGGGTTCTCCATGGATGGACCTCATCCTGTATCTGAGGTCTTTCTGCTAGGGTGGCCCCTACCCCTCCTGGGGATAGTGAGTTCAGCCAGGTGGGGGTGGGAACTGCTGGGGGAAGCACCTGATTTCAAGGTAGCAGATGACCCATTTCTCTCCTCAAATCCAGCCCCAGTCTCATCCTCGACCTCCTATCTAGCTCTACTTCCCTTGGGCCCGGGGCCATCTTAGGCCCTGCTGTGAGTCCAGATGGTTCCTGGGCCAGGTCTTTCCCCCTCCTTGCTGGCCCAGAGCCCAAGAGGAAGCAGAAGACGGCTGGCCTAAGCCTTTTGGTGGCCCCATTCCCTTCAGCAATCCATCTAGGTCATCTTCCTGTCGATGCCAGCATCCCTGGGCTACCTTGTTTAGGGTTGTTCAATGAATAGCAGGGACTCATCACCTCAGCAGAGGTTGGTCCTAGGCCCTCAGCCCCCTGATTCACTTATTTCTGCCATAAGCACTTTTTGAGCATCTACTCTGTGTCAGTCACTATTCCAGGTCCTCAGGACATAGCCGTGACCTAAACACAGAAATCTACCCTGGCGGAGCTGATCTTCTAGTTGTGGCGGTGAGGAGATAGACAGTAAAGACTAAAGAAACAAATAAGTAGGTGGTGTCATTTCTGAGGAGGTAATGAGTGCTGGGGGGATAACTGGCAAGGTAAGGGAGCTCGGGATGGTTGAGATTTTAAATAGGGTTATTCATGGAGGCCTCATGAAAAGGTGACTTTTGAGCAATGGCCTGAAGGGAGAGGGGAGTGAGCCATTTCGAAATTTAGGGGAAGGGTGTTCCAAGGTACCAAGAACAGCCAGTGTGAAGGCCCCGAGGTGGGATTCTGCTGGGTGTGGTTGCAGAACAGCAAGTAAGAATGGTGGCAGGGCGGTTGGGGGGGGGTGGTGGGCAGAGAGGTAATAGGGCCAAATGAGGTAAAGAAAGACCTGTGGGCCACATTGAGGACTGGGGTGTGTATTTGGGGTGATGGGAAACGTAGTACATTCTTGAGTAGAGGAGAAATGTGACCTGGCTTGTAAAAGCCTAGATTGGACCCTAGGGGTCCTAACCTGATCAAACCTTTCTGGCAGCCCTGAGAACAGCTGGTATACACTGAGATCCCCCCCTCCACACAATCCCACCCAGTGGGTGGGTCTGGGCAGGACACCCTGACACACACTCCCCCCCCCACCCACCTGGGTAGATGAATGGGATGATGCAGTGGTTGTCATGACGATGAGTGCTAGAGAAGTCAGGAGGAGGATCCCTGTGGCCACAGGGAATAATCTGCCTTGGCCTTTGAGGGTGGTGCCAGGAGAACTATGCCACTCTATGGGCGTGCTCGAGGCCATGTCACCCATCCTTCAATTCTGGGCACACGCCCTGGCCGACCCATGGCTGGGCCCATCACTGCAGCTGTACCTGAGAAGATCTGCTATGGAGCCTTCTGCTCCTGCAGTGGGGCTTTTCCCCTAGAGGCCAACAATCCATCGTTTGGGCCCTTGCCCTCAATCAGCCACCTAAATCTGAGAACTCAGGTGGGCTACTTAGGAGCAGGGTCCCAGTGGAGTTGGCTCTGTGGGTGGGCAGGTACTTACAAAGATCCCCGTCCATGTTGGGTTTCCAGAAATCCTGAGTGGCTCTGGGGTCCATATTGGTTGAGTGAGCACTGACAAGTCCATGTCAGTGCCCCCTGCTAGACTGTGGGCTTTAGGGGACCCATGGTGATCAAGCAAATGCTAATATGAGACCCATTTCCATCCTTGTCCCTTGCTCAGATCGCCATGGATCGGATGAAGAAGATCAAACGGCAGCTGTCAATGACACTCCGAGGTGGCCGAGGCATAGACAAGACCAATGGTGCCCCTGAGCAGATAGGCCTGGATGAGAGTGGTGGTGGTGGCGGCAGTGACCCTGGAGAGGCCCCCACACGTGCTGCTCCTGGGGAACTTCGTTCTGCACGGGGCCCACTCAGCTCTGCACCAGGTGGGTCCACTGGCTACCCTCTCTCCCATATGACCCCAGGCTGCTTCCCAGGTGTTGCCTCGTGGCCACATTCCTCATTTTCCTCTCAATTTTCTGCCCTTTCTCTGCCCCCCATGTGCTCTCTTCTCCGCCTTCCTTCCCATCTTCTCTCAACACCCTCGGTCTATCTGTCCATCTGCGCTCCTCTCCTTGCCTTTCTGCCCAGGCCCCGTTGTAGGGGGGCACAGGGTGCCTCGCCTGTCACAGTTGCCCCAAGGCTCCCTCTGCCCTTCTGCCCTCTGTGATGGCCTCCTCAGGCCTCTGGTACCTGCCTGCCCTGGGCCTGCCTTCCCAGGACCCTTGGCTTCCCCTGCCACCACCTAGCTACCAGCTCTGAGCTCAGCTTTCCCTTGGAAGGAAAGGTTCCACCAGGTGACTTTTGCCTCCCCACCCCCCAGTTCAACCTGTCCTAGATGGACCTGAGCTTCCCTGGGCCCTATCACCCTCTCCCCGAGGGACTCCAGGTTTCCTCTGGGGGCCATGTGCACACATGTGTGATGATGGAATATGTCTCATGGGGGAGGGGGTGTCCTGTGGTTTCTGACCCCACCTGGCCTGCCCTACCCCTCTCCCTGCCACCAGAGATTGTGCACGAGGACTTGAAGATGGGGTCTGATGGGGAGAGTGACCAGGCTTCAGCCACTTCCTCGGATGAGGTGCAGTCTCCAGTGAGAGTGCGCATGCGCAACCATCCCCCACGCAAGATCTCCACTGAGGTGCTTGACCCAGTCTGGATGGTGGAGGAGCTGGAAAAGGGGGTTGGACCTGGGGAGGTGGAACTCATGATCCTGTTTCTCTCTCGCCTTACCTGCTAGGACATCAACAAGCGCCTATCGCTACCAGCTGACATCCGGCTGCCTGAGGGCTACCTGGAGAAGCTGACCCTCAATAGCCCCATCTTTGACAAGCCCCTCAGCCGCCGCCTCCGTCGTGTCAGCCTAGTAAGCACCTTGTGTTCCTGTCCTCTCCTTTTTCTCCTCCTCTCCCAGACCCTTCTGAACTTGCTTCAACCTGCCTCATTTGTCCCACAGTCTGAGATTGGCTTTGGGAAACTGGAGACCTACATTAAGCTGGACAAGCTGGGCGAGGTGAGAGGCAGCTAGGAGGCCCATGGTGGGGATGAAGGTCAGTGGGAACTCCTGGAATCTCATAGCACCTCTCCTGTCACACTTCCTCACATTCCAGGGTACCTATGCCACCGTCTACAAAGGCAAAAGCAAGCTCACAGACAACCTTGTGGCACTCAAGGAGATCAGACTGGAACATGAAGAGGGGGCACCCTGCACCGCCATCCGGGAAGGTACACACCCCCATCCCATCTGCCCCAGGCTTCCCCAACTCACCCCTGGTGCACACACTCCATAATGAGAACAAAGACTGGTTCTGGGACCCCCCGCAAAACACTCTGGCTTTCATGGGAATGCCTGTTACCCACATATCCAGGTAATAATCAGGGTAACCAGGAATCTGTTCCCATTTGGATAAAAGGTGGATGAATTGCAAACCAGGGTTTGGTTCCGAGAACACCCCTGGAAGTGCTCACCAATTTATTTACTGTAACAATTTCTAGTCAGAATATCACATGGAATGAATTTGAATTGCACTGAAATTGAGTGTGCAAATTCAATTTCACATGATGCTGCAGGCCTGTGTACTGAGGGTTGGAGCCAGGCCCCTTCCCAGAAACCAAAAACAGGTTGTGAAAATCTAGTGTCACATGAGCCTGGGGCTGCAATCCCAGGTTCTTGCTCCATACTCTCCTCTGAGTCTTGTTTTCCACATCTGCAACATGGGGAGACAACTTGCATGAGGTGGGTTAGAGCTGGTGGCTCCGAGGCATTACCTTGAACTGTCTGGAGAAAGAAAAAAAACCTGGGCTTGTCCCTTTCTAGTCCTTGTCCTCACCTCTGTCCTGAGGGTAGGACCCTGACTCTTCCCGTCCCACTCCCATGCTTCCTGCAGTGTCCCTGCTCAAGGACCTCAAACATGCCAACATCGTTACACTACATGACATTATCCACACGGAGAAGTCCCTCACCCTTGTCTTTGAGTACCTGGTAAGGCTGGGTGGCACTGGGTCCCGGGGGGAGGTGGGGAGAAGGCCAGGAGCCGTAGGAAGTAACCCTCATTCCTGTACCACCTCTTCTTTCCTCAGGACAAGGACCTGAAGCAGTACCTGGATGACTGTGGGAACATCATCAACATGCACAACGTGAAAGTGGGTGTGGGGCAGGAAGCAGGGGCACAAGGGGGCCCCCACTCACCCACTCCAACCCACAAATCTCCCAGAAATGGACTTTTCCCTTTGGCTTTTTTTGCTAGGAGCCCTTGGAGGGCACTGGGACCCTGTCCTCTATTGTGTGACAAGGCTCTGGGCCTGGTGTCTGTGTTTGGGAGGGGAGCAGTGCCTGCTGGGGGTCGGGCTAGTGGATAGTCTTTGATCTCTGCCTGCCATTCCTGGGTCCCCAGCTGTTCCTGTTCCAGCTGCTCCGTGGCCTGGCCTACTGCCACCGGCAGAAGGTGCTACACCGAGACCTCAAGCCCCAGAACCTGCTCATCAACGAGAGAGGAGAGCTCAAGCTGGCTGACTTTGGTACCACTGGCCTCCCCCTTCTTCTCATTGGCTCACCAGCCTCCTACTTTCCCATGACCACTTAGTCTCACTTCCCTTCAGCCTTCCCAGATTTTGCCTAGGACACCCTCAGTCTCAACTGCACTCTCCCCCAGACTTTGCCCATGACCCCCTCACTCTAGCTGTCCTTTGTCTGATTTCCAGGCCTGGCCCGGGCCAAGTCAATCCCAACAAAGACATACTCCAATGAGGTGGTGACACTGTGGTACCGGCCCCCTGACATCCTGCTCGGGTCCACGGACTACTCCACTCAGATTGACATGTGGTAAGGACAGGTGGAAGTGTGGCAGGGGCCACGTGGTAAAGGGGGTGGCTTGGTCACAACAGCCACCCAGTCAGCTGCCTCTCTATTCACTGTGCCCTCCCTGCCCAGGGGTGTGGGCTGCATCTTCTATGAGATGGCCACAGGCCGGCCCCTCTTCCCGGGCTCCACGGTGGAGGAACAGCTACACTTCATCTTCCGCATCTTAGGTGAGGAGGCATGGGCCCTAGACGCTGTGGAGACACAGAGAGGACCTGTGAGATGTTTGGGGTAACTCCTCTTCCCTACTAGGAACCCCAACTGAGGAGACGTGGCCAGGCATCCTGTCCAACGAGGAGTTCAAGACATACAACTACCCCAAGTACCGAGCCGAGGCCCTTTTGAGCCATGCACCCCGGTGAGGCTGGTGGGTGGGTGGACGTTAGGGGCCAGAGTGTCCAAACTCATTTTAAAGCAGGTCTCTTTGTCCTTGTGGCAGACTTGATAGCGACGGGGCCGACCTCCTCACCAAGCTGTTGCAGGTGAGACCACCTTGGGTCAGCCTTGGGGGTATGGGATTCCAGGTGTGGGGAAACAGGGACCTCCCCCCCCCTCAAACCAGGGGCAGGGTCTGAGGTGGGCAGAGAGACCTACTCGTTGACGATAATCAATACTATCCCCCTCCCCCCACCCCCATTCAGTTTGAGGGTCGAAATCGGATCTCCGCAGAAGATGCCATGAAACATCCATTCTTCCTCAGTTTGGGGGAGCGGATCCACAAACTTCCTGACAGTGAGTGGAGCTGGGGAATGGACCAGCCAGTGTGGGGACTGGGAAGCAGAACTGCTGGGGCCAGCTGGCGGGTTGTGTAGGATTCTGGCTATGCTACTCTAAGTGGGGGGACATCTTGTTCACAGGTGTGATGGGTTGTATTTGTTATGAAAACATTTTTTAGTTTTCAGTTCCTTTTACCTTTCATGAAAAATTTAAAACATACATAAAAATATATGCAATAGCATTTTACCTTTTTTAAAGTAGACATTTCCTTACATGCGCTAAAAAATGCACAAATCATAAGTATACTATACAATGAATTTTCATAAATGAAACGTATCCTTGTAACTAGCACAAAAGTCAAGAAACAATGTTAAAAGCTCCCCACCCCCAGCTGCCTTGCATCTCCTTCAGTTATTCCCAGCCCCTCCCCAAAGGGTGACCACTGTTTTGACCTCTAACAGCAAGGATAAGTTTTTTTCTGTCCTTGTATTTTATAGAAATAGAATCACATGTGATGTTCTCTTTTTCTATCTGGCTTTTAAAAACTTTTTAATATGGATATTTTCAAATATATGTATTTATATATTAGTCAAAATAATATGATGAGTCCCTAAGTACTCCAATAAATCATCAATCCGTGGTCAATCTGGTTTTATCTATATTCTCTCTGATTATTTTGAATCACATCCAATCTCAGACATCATAGCATTCATCCCTAAATAATTTCAGCATATACCTATAAAAGATTTTTTTAAAAACAAATTATCAAACCTACAAAAAACATTTGCTCACTCTCCCTATCTCCCCACTGGATTAATACATAAAGCAAACCCCAAACACCACCCATCACCTAGACTTAACCAGTGGTAACTGCAATACCATAATCCACTTGACAAAATTAATAATGATTTCTTTGTGTCATGTAATAGTCCGTATTTTATCTTCCCTGGTTGTAGCTGGTTTGTATATGGAATTGTTTGACAGATGAAGGTCAAGCCTCTCAGAGAAGAGGCAGCGTTTTCTAATTCTTCCAGTGGGGTCATATGGGGCTGGTCCTGAATGACCTCATGGGTCATCCCCCACTTCTATGTCTCCCCCATCTGTAGCTACTTCCATATTTGCACTAAAGGAGATTCAGCTACAAAAGGAGGCCAGCCTTCGGTCTTCGTCGATGCCTGACTCAGGTAGGTACAGCCCCTTGTCTTCCTCCCCACCCTACCCACCTACCTGCTTACCCACCAACAACCGTCTGCTCTGCTTTCCCCCACAGGCAGGCCAGCTTTCCGCGTGGTGGACACCGAATTCTAAGCCACAGACCGAGGCCCCAGCAGGCAGCGGCTGGAGGGATGCCACACCCCTCACAGGGCAGCCCCCAACTACATTTTCCCTGCTTACTCTGCCTACCTGCCTGAGCCATGTTCACCTGCCCACTTGTCCCTTGCTGCCTGTCCAAACACCCGACCATTGGCCTGTCAACCCACCCATTGGCCTGTCTGCTGGGTGCTAACAAAGCTCTCATCACTCCTTCACTTGGTCTGTCTGTCTGTCTGTCTCTATCTTGGTAGTTGCCGGTGGACAGCATGGCCGTGCCAGCCTCCCACACTGAGGCCAGGCCTACCCCTCATCATACCATCCCCCAGGACCACTACCCCACGGCCAGCCAGGGGTCCAGAGCTAGCTCAGGCTGGGAATCTCGACTCAGACAAGATGGTGACAATGCCTTGAGTCTGAGGCATCCCCTGCCTGCTTTCCTGCCTGCCCCACCTGCCTCATATTGTGTGGGCCTTTTTTTGTTTGTTTCATTCATTGTTTTTTTTTTTAATTATTTTAAATGAGGTTTTCATTTTTTTAAATGCAATATCTCTGTATACAGATTGGCTGGGCCCCACCCCCTGCGTGTGGCCCTCCCACAGTATTTTGTGCAATGAAGCCCTGCTCCCAGCCTTTCAGAGACAGGGACACAGCCCCTATTTGGAACCCTGATCATCACCAGACCCTGGGATCGGCTATGGGAAAGCATGCCATGGCCACTCGCCTTCCTACCCCCGCCTGCCATCCTTAGCTGCAGGAGGATCTGGGGACTACCAGAGACTCTGGGAAATGGACAAGGTGGGGGGCCCCACTCTTTCTCTCCTGCAGTCCCATAGCTGGGGCCTCCTTCCTTCTCAGGGTCTCCCCAGCTCAGCCCTCTTGCTCCCATCCCACTAGGTGCTGTTGGGTAGGGGCCCTGCCAGGAACTGACCAGCTCAGCAAGGAGCCATACTGTGCATATGTGCACAAGCAGGGTTGGGGGAGGGGGTTGTGAGGGGTTGTGCCCAGGTGTTGCCCCCTATCTCCTGGGGAGGGTGAGCAGGGCAGGGACAGTCTCCAGGGTCAGTCCCTGGATGGGTGGTTACCTCCCCTTCCTCCACCCTAAGCCCTGGGGCCCTGAAATGGGGTGGGAGGGCAGGGGTGGGAGCCCTCCTAGTGGGTTTGGGGGGTTGGGTTCCTGAATGCACCATAATCGCTGTATGAAATATTAAAAAGTCTAAAGTGAAAAGCCTGCTTGCAAATCCCTGTAGGGGTGGAGGGTGGCCAAGCTGGGGTGATTACTGGGACCTTGGAGAATTCATACCTGATCACCACTGTCTAGGAAAACACTGGGAGTGGACCAGGGACACGTCACAACTATGAAAAAGGCATCTAAGGTATTGCACATGTAACAGTAGAACATGGAGTTGAAGCAGGTAGGGCAGGCTGAATGGTGTTGATGGGCTGAGAAGCAGAAAGGGGAGTTAGATTTGCCCAGGAATGTGAGAAAGCCTGATAAGAGGGTGGAGACAGGGGAGTGGAGAGATGATGTCTGAAAGACACTGGAAGGCCCAATAGAACCATCGATGGGAAGATGAGGCAAAGGCCCTGTATGACCACTACAGCATCTGACTAGGAAACCATGAAGAGGAGGGAATCTTGACAGTAAAGGGTAGATTGTGGACCACTGAGTAGGTAGAGAAATCCTTAACCTGGAAATTTCAATTATTAGTGTCCAGGAAGTAATAGAAACCATGGGCATGGGTGAGAGAGTTTGCAAGAGACCAGGGATCAATGACACAACCTGGGATTTGCTCTCAGGTATGAGGATAGTTGAGACTTTTATTTCCTTTGTCCTGTGAGTTCCAGCCCCAGTCCCACCATCTTAGGCAAAGCCAAGGATTGTTTTGCAAGCAGAAGAGGTGGGGTGAGCAGGGCCAGGCAAATACTGCAAGTAATGGCAAGCCTAATTAAGTGGCCGTTTACTAAAGCCCAGTGGTGGGGGCCCATGGACTTCTAATCACTCTACTGTGTTTTGTTTGTTTTTTGAGATAGTCTCTGTCGCCCAGGCTGGAATGTAGTGGCACAATCTCGGCACACTGCAACCTTTGCCTCCTGGGTTCAAGGGATTCTCCTGCCTCAGCCTCTGAGTAGCTGGGATTACAGGCATGCGCCACCACACCCAGCTAATTTTTGTATTTTTAGTAAAGATGGGGTTTCACCATATTGACCAGGTTGGTCTCGAACTCCTGACCTCAAGTGATCCACCCGCCTCGGCCTCCCAAAGTGCTGGGATTACAGGCTTGAGCCACCAAGCCCAGCCTCTACTGTATCTTTGTAAGCACTTTAGTGATGTTTCAGCTTGCAGCTTCATGGTGCCATGATGACTGCCATGTCCCCAGAGGTGGAAAAGCAAGCAGGGAAAACAAAACACCTTCCTTACCTGCCTGTTTTCTTTTAACGGCTGGAACTTCCACAAGCTCCTCAGCAGACTTCCGGTGCCGTTTCTTGGCTAGAATCAGATGACATGGCCACTTCTGGCAGCAACGGAGGATGGGAAAAGGAGGGCCTTGCAAAGGGGGACAGGATTGCCAGGGTGGATTTAAAAGGATTAGACTTCACCCAACTGCTCTGGGAAGTGGTAGGGTCACTGGTGTGGGCAGAGGTTGGCCTCTGGAAGGTGAAAAAACGGTCTAGGGCTGGAGGTCTCTTGGATTTACCTGGCTGCCCAGATAAATGGGGAGGGGGAGTCTGCAGAGGTATAATGGGGAGAATCAATTCAGAGAATCTGACAAGATTCAACTGGGCTTAAAGAGCAGCTATCTGCCATGTGTCTGACTCAACTCAAATGCCACTTTCTTTGGGGACCCTTAAGTGAAAGGGCTGCTCCCTTACCTCACCCAGCGCTTACAAAACTGACCCCTCATCTATGCCAGGTCTGGGCTGGGGGCTGGAATCAGAGTAATAAAGACACAATCCCTTCCCCGCAGAGGTTAACTGAAAATAGGTAAATTACAAGATTGTGAGGGGGAAGGGAGGTTCGAAATTAAAGTCATCACCAACAGGGCTGGCAGCCCTGGCAGAGAAAAGAATAGCATAGCCTAGTGCAGTGGTTCTCAATCAGAGACATTTTTCCCCCAAAGGACATTTGGTAATGTCTGGAAACACTTGGTTGTCCTGAGGGGTACTACTTGGTATCTAGTAGGTAGAGGCCAGGGATGCTGCTACACATCCTGCAATGCCCACAACAAAGAAATGACAGTGCTGAGGTTGAGAGACCCTGGCCTAGTGCAAGACTTCTCAAACTCTGGGCCTCGGGATTCCTTTATGTTCTTAAAAGTTTAAGACATTCAAAAGAGTTCTTGTTTATGTCATATAGCCTCTGGATTCAGAAGCCTCTAGATAATTACACTGTACACCCCTGAGAGAATGAGAGTGAAAAAGTATTGTGAAAATAGTTTTCATTTTGTGAACCCCCAAGAGGAGTTTTGGACCGGTAGACAGGCTGGGACCACACGGTTGGAGAATGTTTGACCTGGTGTTTAAGGTCACAGCTCTGGAACGAGATTTCTCAAGTTTAAACTGCAGCTCCATCACTTATTAGCTGAGGGACATTTCTGGTACTCAGCGTCCAGTTGTTACCCATGGGTGATAAGGACAGTACCTGCTGCCTGAGGCTACTATTTTAGTCCAACAAAGCACTTAAACTGGGCGGACAGCTAGTTTAGTTATGATTGCTATGACTCCAACAAACATAGGGCCTGGGGCTAACTTGCCTTCAACACCTTGTCTAGTGAATAAATCTAGTTCAGGAAGAGAAACAATGACCCGCAGGCCTAGGTGGGTCTCTGGAGGTGGAAACCTCTTTTGCATTGGGTTTTGATGGTTAAGGGTAGTACAATAAAGGGCATTCTGATCAGGCTAACAAACGCTGCTCCCAGGGTAGGAGTCCTCGCCCACCTCGCCCACCTCGGGAACCTCAGCCTCCACTTTCCATGCCACCTGTGCCCATACAGGGCGTTGGAACCCCACAAGGCACTTTTGTCTTTCTTGGTTCCCACTGAAGATTTTACCCCACCTAACCCTTCGACGCGTCTGTGCGCGGGGCCATTTCCAATATGGCAGTAGCCCCGCGACTGTTTGGGGGGCTCTGCTTCCGTTTCCGGGACCAGAATCCGGAAGTGGCTGTTGAGGGGCGTCTTCCAATCTCGCACAGCTGCGTTGGCTGTAGAGGAGAACGGACAGCGATGGCGACGGTCGCAGCAAATCCAGCTGCTGCTGCGGCGGCTGTGGCGGCGGCGGTGGCGGTGGCTGAGGATAGAGAGCCACAGCGCGAGGAGCTGCCAGGCCTAGACAGCCAGTGGCGCCAGATAGAAAACGGCGAGAGTGGGCGAGAACGTCCACTGCGGGCCGGCGAAAGCTGGTGAGGCTGGGCTGCGGTGAAGCCTCGGCAGAGGGGACAGTGGGGGCATTGACAACCGCTGGAGATTCGGCGGCCGAGGGCGGCGGGAAAGCTGCTGCGGGGTGCGGGGGCGGGGGAGTGGCCGACGGGACAGCGGGCTAAAGGGGCGGGGAAGTGTCTTTGAATGAATCGCAACGTCTGGAAAAGGGGCGGGGCCTGTGTGGTGCAGTCTGACGCCTGAGAACAAAATGGGGTTTGTTGTGATGAGACCGGTTTCAGCCCTGGAGGTGGGGCCGGGCCTGCGTAGTGAAACTGCGTAGGAACCTGGGAGGAAGGTGGGTTCTGCGATGTAAGGCGGGGGCGCGGCCTGCGCTGCGTAATGCAACTTTTGGGGGCGGGGAGCGGTCTCCGATTGCTCTGGCGTGGCTGGGAACGAGGCGAGCTTTGTGACGTCAGCAGAAGAGCGGGATGGAGCCGAACGGTCCGAGGGAGGGAGCGGGGACCTGCGTGGGGGAGGAGCTTGGAGCCTGGGAACGAGGTTAGGTTGGTGACGTGAGCCGAGGGGCGTGTTCTGAGGCCGAGGGACGACAGTGGAGGGGAGGTGGTGCCTATAAGGCAGAAAATGGCGCCTGCGAATAAGCAAAGTTTATAATGCGCAGAGGTTTTTTATTCTGGCAGAAGCCTTCCCGAGTCGAGAGAACGTGCAAGTGATTAGCACGGGAGGGGCCTTCCATGTTCAATTGATTTTCTGTCTTGGTACTGTTTTGGTTTTAGAATCAAGAAAAAGTCGTTTTTTTAAAAACCGATAATTTTGATAAATCGGCTTGTTTTACTGATTTCTTGCTAAACAGTGCTTCTTGAGATTTACTGCTTCTGGGTTCATTTTATTTCTGGCCGAGTTGCATCTGGTTTTTTAATTGTGAAATACGTAAGACCTAAGAAGATTGTATAAAACATTTACGCAGCCCAGATTGACGGACATCCTTTTAAAATAAACGGCTACACTCTTCAAAAATGTCAGGGTCGTGAAAGACAAAGGCTGAAGAACTGTTCTAAATTGAAGGAATTAATGCGATTTAACGAGTCATGATAACTAAATGCAACATGTGATCCTCGATTGGATCCTGGAACAGAAAAAAAAAATTATTTTAAAAATCAATTTTTTATCATAAGATTATTTTTGTCTCTTTTACTGTAAAAGGCAATGGAAACATCGGTGAAATTTTATTAAAGTGGGTAGATATTAGTACTACTAATTTCTTAATTGTGATCATTGTGGCATGAAAAAGAATACCCTTGTTTATAGGAAATGCTGAAAAATTTAGGGATAAGAACTCATTGTGTAAGCAGTTTATTCTCAAATGCCTGAAAAATTAGCATATATAAATTTATATATGGTGAGGGGAAAGGGGAAATTAGGGAGATGTTGGTCAAAGGATACAACATTTCAGTTAGACAAGAAGAATAAGTTCAGATCTATTGTACAACTATAGTTAATAAATTCATTGTATACTTGAAAATTGCTGAGAGATTTTACATGTTCTACCACCCCCCAGAAAATTGATAAGTATGTGACGTAATGGATGTGTTAATTGCCTTGACTTAGTCATTCCACAATGTATACATAAGTCAGAACTTCATGCTGTACACCATAAATATATACCATTTTTGTCCATTTTTAAATAAATAAAAATACCAAAAAAGAATGCATGTAAAGAAACAACGATTGAGCAAATGGGTAAAATATTAGATTTGGAGGATCTGGATGTGGGATATGTGGGAATTCTCTGTATTATTTTTGCCATTTTTCTCAATCTATTTCAAAGTTTAAAAATTAAATAATAATTAAATAAAAACGTGTGAATTCACCATCCAGGTTAAGATTCAGAACACTGTCTTGAGAAATCCTTCTTTGCCCCTCCCAGATGGAAATTCCCCTCCTTGCTCCATGGGAAACTGTTATCCTGAATTTTGAGTTAACAGGCTCTTCCTTTTCTTTGATGTTTGACCACAACTGTATGCATCCCTAAGTAGTATGTAATGTCTAAGCTTTCACTTTATACATATATGGAATATATATATAAAATTCTACTGGATGCATACTGTGAGCCCTTCTCTTCCTATCAGGTGATACATGGTATCCACATGACATCATTGGTGATGTTAACCTTGATCACTTGGTTATGGTAGTGTTGGCCAGGTTTCTCAACTGTAAAAGTACCGTTTTCCTCTTTACGTACGCAATAATTGTTTTTAAAACATGTATCATGTCCAACCATTCCTCAAAATACCCCTAACAGCTTCCCATCTCTTGCAACGTAGATGCTAAAATCCTTACAGTGAATCGTAAGACTTTATGAAGCTGGTCTCCAGCTTGCATTCTGATGTCTTCCCAGATCTCTCTTCTGATTACGCACTCCCTCTCTGTCTCCATCCAGGCCGGCCATATTGGACTCTTGCTGTTCCTCAAACACATCTAACCTTAGGGCTTTTTCGAGTGAGGTTTACTCACTACAGAGTTCTTTAATAACCACACCAGTGAAATGCGTATCTCTGTTACTGGGGAGATGAGTTGAGATTTTCCAGATCGGGAATACAAACCCAAGCCGTGTTTTTCTGCCATTACGTCATACCTTTCCTACAAGAAAAAGCCTCATTTCATCCTGAGAATAAACAAAATAACCACAATGTTTTATAACCCATTTGAAGATGTTCAAAAGGGCCTTGAGGCTTTGGTCCTTGCCTCTTTCTACCTTTGTGGCCTTGTGATTGTGTCACTGGTAGATAGGGCATTACATCCTGTCATCCTTGACAATACCCTTTAAAATTACCCCACCAGTACTGGATTTTCTTTTGGGATGATGAACTATTTTGGAACTAGGGAGAGGTTGTGGTTATACAACTGTGAATGTTCTAAATGCCACTGAATTGTTCACTTTAAGATGGTTAATGTTATGTGAATTTCACCTCATTAAAAAAATTACCACACAAGTGTTGGTTCAGTATTGAAGCCCGTTTGTCTCTGCTGTCATGGGTATTATCATGAAGCATTTTTGCTAAACTCCACTTTGTTAATGCTTCTCTATTTAGATAAGAGCAAAGCATCTCAAGGTTCTTTATTGCTGTCCATTTTCCATTTTATAGGGGTTTGCTGAAGTGGCCAGGATATATGTATTTATAAAGCATTTTGAAATCATGGACTAACCCCAAATCATATATCTTGTATCAGTATTAATATTTGCACCTTCTGTCTTTTGTCAGCTGTTAGATTTGGGTGAGAGTAGTTAATTAATTTGGTAATCACAACTGATTTAATTTCTGGGAGAAGCTTATATTTTAAGGCAAATTCAAATCTGTAATAATATAGCCTCCTTGGAAATTTTCACTTTTTCCTTTTGTGGGATGAACCACCTTCAAACACAAATCAGACACAAGAGAAAACTAGAAGACAGAAAATAAAGAATTGTTTAGTAACTTTTTTCCATAAGCACATATTTCATATCATTTCAACAAATTTGAGGAAGCACAAATAAACCTAAGTGACTTTAGCAAGATCAGTTGTACCTGTATATACTGGCAACAAGAAACTAGAAAATTAAATTGTATTATACCATTTATGATAGCATCTAAAAAATTGAATACCCAGCTGTAAATATAATAATTTGGGTGTTATTGGTACAGACCATGACACCTTTGTTGTGACTGCCACCTGGCCTGACAGAGATTGTGAGACATCCTGATTTCAGAGATGTTACAATGATTTTTTTAAAGTGTCTTTGACTTGAAGCAATATGGTAATAATATTCTGTGAAAAATTATGTAAAACGTCAGTCCTCCATGAAATCTATAGAAATTCAACCTGTGGCCAGGTCTGGAAGTTTTGCTTACCACTGTACAGAGTGATTTTAATGTTAATTTTTGTTCAAAATCTGCTCTTAAAAGGAAGTTGAGCAATTCCTACCTTTGCATTGGAAGGTACTGTTAACTATAGCTTTACTGAACAAATTAATTTCATAGACTGGCTACGGAGGCAAGTAAAGCCACAAAGGGTGGATGGTGGTGTGTGTGGTACAGGGTTGGGTTTGAGCACTGAGCCACCAGCACAGAAGAATTTGTTTCCCTGGTGTGAGTGATACGGCAGGGTCTGTGGGGGTCAGTGCAGCAAAAAAAACAAAACCAACAAAAAACTCACAGAAATGTTTGCCTATCCAGGTGACTTGTGACTATTCCAAGATTTGTCTGTCCCTCCATCCTCCCACCTCTCTGATCCTTTCATGAACAAGGGAAAGTTGACATTTTAAAGAATCACATTAATGAGGTTAAATTGGGAGAATCACTTGAACCCGGGAGGCAGAAGTCGCAGTGAGCTGAGATTGTGCCACTGCACTCCAGCCTGGGCGACAGAGCAAGACTCTGTCTCAAAAAATTATGATAATAATAGGTTAAATTGCTGGAAAACCAACCAATATAATGTTATATGTATTTCGTCAAAATTTGGTTATGTTTTTTGTTTTTTTTTTTTTTTTTTTGAGACGGAGTCTCGCTCTGTCGCCCAGGTTGGAGTGCAGTGGCGCGATCTCGGCTCACTGCAAGCTCCGCCTCCCGGGTTCACGCCATTCTCCTGCCTCAGCCTCCTGAGTAGCTGGGACTACAGGCGCCCGCCACCGCGCCCGGCTAATTTTTTGTATTTTTAGTAGAGACGGGGTTTCACCGTGGTCTCGATCTCCTGACCTTGTGATCCGCCCGCCTCGGCCTCCCAAAGTGCTGGGATTACAGGCGTGAGCCACCGCGCCTGGCCTGGTTATGTTTTAAAAAACATTTATTTGAGGCTGCTCAATATTTGGGATAGCCTTTTATGTGTCAGAAATGCCGTAGTAGAACAGGTGTATGTGTTTGTGTGTGTTCAGGCAGGAGGAGGTTTATGTCTGTGAGCTTTTATGTCCAAGCCCTGAAGTCCAAGCTGTCAGAACAATGACAGCTAAAATTCATTTAGCACTTACTATATGTCAAGTATTTTCCACACTTCAGGTTTTCTCACAAAGGCAGATTTCAATATAGTTCTAAATGGTTATCCTTATAGTACATATAAGTTTCACCTTTAAAAGAGAGCTAGTTGAACTGTATACTGAAAAATGGTTGATGATAAGTTTTATGTTACGTGTTTTTATCACAGTTTTTTTTTTTTGTTTTTTTGGTTTTTTTTTTTTGTTTTTTGTTTTTGTTTTTTTTTTGAGACGGAGTCTCGCTCTGTCGCCCAGGCTGGAGTTCTGCGGCGCAATCTTGGCTCACTGCAGGCTCCGCCTCCCGGGTTCACGCCATTCTCCTGCCTCAGCCTCCCAAGTAGCTGGGACTACAGGCGCCTGCCACCACGCCCGGCTAATTTTTTGTATTTTTAGTAGAGATGGGGTTTCACCGTGTTAGCCAGGATGGTCTCGATCTCCTGACCTCGTGATCCGCCCACTTCAGCGTCCCAAAGTGCTGGGATTACAGGCGTGAGCCACCACGCCCAGCCTTTATCAAAATTTTTAAGAGAACCATAAGCTAAGAAATTTATTATAAAGCCAAAATAAATTCTAAATTAAAAAATGAACCATAGCAATATGCAGTCCTTTTTTTTTCTTTCTTTCTTTTTTGTTTGAGATAGAGTCTTGCTGTGTCGCACAGGCTGGAGTGCAGTGGTACAATCTCGGCTCACTGCAACTTCTGCCTCCAGGGTTCAAGCGATTCTCGTGCCTCTGCCTCCCAAGTAGCTGGGATTACAGGCATGTGCCACCACGCCTGGCTAATTTTTTGTATTTTTAGTAGAGACAGTTTTGCCATGTCGGCCAGGCTGGTCTTGAACTCCTGACCTCAGGTGATCCACCAACCTTGACCTCCCAAAGTGTTGGGATTACTGGCGTGAGCCACTGTGCCCCGTCTTTTTTTTATTTTATTTTGTTTTTCATTATGCAGTTTTTGAAGGAAAACCTAATGGTTCTTTTTAGCATTTTAAATTCTTTGCTCCTTTTAAGCAGATTTTCACGATTTATCAATCCAGTTCTTAGCTCAAGAATTATGCTTCCATTGATATATCCTTTAGAAACAAACATGTAATGAATGGCTAAAGCCTTATAAAATTAGCTGCAGATGGCAGATATCTTGAGCCTGACTTAACTGGGTTATCCCACAGACTAATTCAAATGAATTATCTTTTATTCTAGAATAAAACCTCATGTTTCCTAGCACTATAAGTATGGACTTTTTGTTGGTTTGTTTGCCATTGTTGAGCACATTTTCTGTTTTTAATCAGATTTCTTTTTTAATACTAAGAAGTAATCTAACATACAAATCTGAGCTTCGCTGAATAAATTTTGCTTCTGATTTATTTTTATATGACGCTGAAACTTTTCATCTTAAATTATAATGTGTCGATACTTTCAGTCTGATGGGCATGGGAAGTTGTATAGCTAACCCTCAGCTACCCATGTAATACCCTTGTTACCTGTCTGGGCCCCAGGTTCCTTGTGGAGAAGCACTGGTATAAGCAGTGGGAGGCATACGTGCAGGGAGGGGACCAGGACTCCAGCACCTTTCCTGGCTGCATCAACAATGCCACACTCTTTCAAGGTACAAGGCCTCTGCCTCCTCCTCATCTTAGCCCTGGAGTTCTCTTCCCTTCCATCCCTACAGATGATCATAAGCCTATTCTGTGTGCTAGGTCACTGGTGGGGTGGCCAGAGTTATTTGTCAGTTTCCTTTGCTAATTCTTCCTCTGCCATCTCCACCCCCACCCCACAGATGAGATAAACTGGCGCCTCAAGGAGGGACTGGTGGAGGGCGAGGATTATGTGCTGCTCCCAGCAGCTGCTTGGCATTACCTGGTCAGCTGGTATGGTCTAGAGCATGGCCAGCCACCCATTGAACGCAAGGTATAGTGGATGGGGAGGGTGCATGGTGGGGAGTGGGTAGTAAGAAAGCCTTGTAGGCCCAGCATGGGTCCAGATCCTTGTATGCTGAGTAAGTACACATATGTCTGCTCTCTTCCCCCTCCTAGCTCATCATATAGGTATCTTTGTGTGTCTGCTGTGTGTGTTCCCCTGTGTGGCTCCCTTTACAGACCATTGTATATGTGTGTGTGTATGCTATGTGTGTAAAGCAAAGTGTGTGCTCCTCTTAGCTTAGAGGTCATAGCGCCGTGTCTGTGTGGGTACACCTGTGTCTGCACCCCTCTACCCTTACAGGTCATAGAGCTGCCCAACATCCAGAAGGTCGAAGTGTACCCAGTAGAACTGCTGCTTGTCCGGCACAATGATTTGGGCAGATCTCACACTGTTCAGTTCAGCCATACTGATTCTATTGGTGAGTCTCAGGGTCACAGAATGGGTTGGTGTTCCTAGCTACTGGTCCCAACTCAGTGACTTGAGGATGAATAGAGTTAAGCTGTAGCTGACTGAAAAGGCACTGGTCAGACTTTGGAAGACCCAGAAGGCATTGGCTAAATTGGGCGGAGGCACTGAGGGGATCTCCTAGAGCCCTGAGGGTATGTGAGCTACATTCCAGTGGCTTACATGGTGTGGCAGAGGGTATTTGCTGGAAGTCTCCAGTCTGGAGTTGTGGGCCAGTCATTTGGAGATTGATTGAGGGCACAGGTACTGGGCAAGCATGTGAGGTCTACAGGGATGTCAGGTATGCCCAGATGAATCGATCATTTTGGGTCTCACAAAGATCTTGAGTGCACTCCATCACCCTGCACAGGCATGGTATTGCGCACAGCTCGGGAGCGGTTTCTGGTGGAGCCCCAGGAAGACACACGGCTTTGGGCCAAGAACTCAGAAGGCTCTTTGGATAGGTTGTATGACACACACATCACGGTTCTTGATGCGGCCCTTGAGACTGGGCAGGTAAGGATGGGGAGGGCTTTTCTGTTCAGGTGGACTGGCAGATAGATTCATCTGGCAGTACTCAGGTTGGGGGAAATTAAGGCTAGGTACCCATAATGTTCTCCATTAATACCTTTTCTTCTTTCTCTTTCTCCAACCCAGTTGATCATCATGGAGACCCGCAAGAAAGATGGCACTTGGCCCAGCGCACAGCTGCATGTCATGTGAGCCCTTGGGGTATCTGATCCAGAGCGGGGGCGTCCCACAGTAGGCAAAATGATTTAGTCCGTGAGCACATTGCACCCCCATGCAGCAGGCCCTCAGCTGACAGTTTCTCATCCAACCCCAGGAACAAGCACATGTCGGAAGAGGATGAGGACTTCAAGGGCCAGCCAGGCATCTGTGGCCTCACCAATCTGGGCAACACGTGCTTCATGAACTCGGCCCTGCAGGTTGGGCCATTATAGTTGTGTCTGGCACAGCCACGGGGTTGGGCTTTGAGAGCTAAGGACTGGGGACAGAGCTGGGGTCCTAAGGGGACTACAGGGCAAGGGGTCAGGCTGAAAGCTAAGGCCCCACAAGTCTGAAATGACACGTCCACATTCATTCCTGAACTATCAGCCTCTTCTCCCAGCTTGTCCTTGTTTTCTGTCTTCTCTCCCCTGCTCTCACGTTCTTCCTTCTCGTGAAATCCTAATGCCTTCTCTCCCTTACTCTCCTGCTCCTCTCTCTCCTCCCTTCCCCTTCTCTCCCATTTTCCTCTCTCTTCCCTCCTGGCTTATTTTTCTGTATCCTCACTTTGAACCTTCTGTCTTCTCTCTGCCTCATTCACTTGACCCCTGGCCCCTGCAGTGCCTCAGCAACGTGCCACAGCTCACCGAGTATTTCCTCAACAACTGCTACCTGGAGGAGCTCAACTTCCGCAACCCACTGGGCATGAAGGGTGAGATTGCAGAGGCCTATGCAGACCTGGTGAAGCAGGCATGGTCTGGCCACCACCGCTCCATCGTGCCACATGTGTTCAAGGTGTGACTCAACCCTGGGCACCCCCGACCCCCTGCTTCTCTTGGCTCTCCTAACTCCCTCTCACTCTGATGACCCTGCCCATCTTCTTAGAACAAGGTCGGCCATTTTGCGTCCCAATTTCTGGGCTACCAGCAGCATGACTCTCAGGAGTTGCTGTCATTCCTCCTGGACGGGCTGCATGAGGACCTTAATCGGGTGAAGAAAAAGGAGTATGTGGAGCTGTGTGATGCTGCTGGGCGACCGGATCAGGTAGGCTGCCCCTGCATTTGCAGTACCATTAACACCACTAAGGCCTCTGCCTCGGGGATTTTCTGGCCTCCCTGGGATACTAACACACCACCATTTTCTGTTAGGTTCCTCTACCCTGACGTCAACTCCAGCCTCACTCCTAACCTTAGCTCCAATACCGTATCTGCCGCCACACTCAACCCAGAGTGAACCCCAGCCCAGTCTCCTGCCCTAAATGACCCCCAGTCTTGACCGTGAACATAGTCTCCGTGTATCCCTAGCTGGAGCTCTGCCTCTGGACTTTAGCAGTGGCCTTCCCCTTCACCCCATTTGAATGCACCCCAAGGCATGATTTCCTCCTACCCTGGGCAAGCCCCACCATCCACCATGACACTATCAACAGGAGGTGGCACAGGAGGCGTGGCAAAACCACAAACGGCGGAACGATTCTGTGATCGTGGACACTTTCCATGGCCTCTTCAAGTCCACGCTGGTGTGCCCCGATTGTGGCAACGTATCTGTGACCTTCGACCCCTTCTGCTACCTCAGTGTTCCACTGCCTATCAGCCACAAGAGGGTCTTGGAGGTCTTCTTTATCCCCATGGATCCGCGCCGCAAGCCAGAGCAGGTGCGGGGCAGTGGGGGCCTGGGGACATGATGAGGGACACGTAGAGTTTGATTAGCTGCCATAGCTCAAGGCTTCCTGCATTAACTCACCACAAGCCCTTTTGGTCTTTTGTGGATACTGTTTCTCCCTTAGCACCGGCTCGTGGTCCCCAAGAAAGGCAAGATCTCGGATCTGTGTGTGGCTCTGTCCAAACACACTGGCATCTCGCCAGAGAGGGTGAGACTGCAGAAGGAGGCTGGATGGGATTCTGGGGCAAGGAGGCAGGAGGGCCTGGGGAGGCCATGCAGACTAACAGCCCCCTCTCCGTATCCCATTCCTAGATGATGGTGGCTGATGTCTTCAGTCACCGCTTCTATAAGCTCTATCAGCTGGAGGAGCCTCTGAGCAGCATCTTGGACCGCGATGATATCTTCGTGTGAGTGGGGATGACGGGGAGATGGCGGTCCCTCAGGAACTTGGTCCACTTCCTTCTGTATGGTCCTGCCTTAACCACCTTCTCTTTCCCTGCTCTGCCTCATTCACTGGGCACCTGCCCTGTGCAGAGCTTCAGCCACGTGCCTTGGGAGACTGAGGCAGGAGAATGGCGTGAACCCGAGAGGCGGAGTTTGCAGTGAGCCGAGATCACGCCAGTGCACTCCAGCCTGGGCAACAGGGCGAAACTCCATCTCAAAAATAAATAAATAAAAAAAAAATAAAAATACTTTCAGGCTGTGAGGATGAGTGGGTGGGGCAGCCAGGGCAGAGTTAGGGAGTCTCTGGGGGCCCCGATCAGGTGTGCCTGCTCTCCACCCCCCACAGCTATGAGGTGTCAGGTCGCATTGAGGCCATCGAGGGATCGAGAGAGGACATCGTGGTTCCTGTCTACCTGCGGGAGCGCACCCCTGCCCGTGACTACAACAATTCCTACTATGGCCTGATGCTTTTTGGGCACCCCCTCCTGGTATCAGTGCCCCGGGACCGCTTCACCTGGGAGGGCCTGTATAACGTCCTGATGTACCGGCTCTCGTAAGTGTCCTCTTCCCCAGGGGCGGGGGTGGTGGGGTCTGAACTCCAACTTGGGTGTTCAGCTGCTTATTTGACACCTCCCCTGCAACCAACAAAAGACAGTCCAAACTTTACGTGGACATAGAAGAACTTGTAGGGTTTTTTCTTTCTCTAGACCTCTGGCTTTGCTACTGCCTCTCTTGGGTGCTAGGGATACAGAGGTGAACAAGATGCACAAAACACAGACAACTTCATCTTGTCTTCAGTTGTCTCTCCTGGGGTCAGTTGTGCCTCCTGGGAGAGTCTTGGTTTTTTGTCTTTTTGCTGACAAATTTTCATTGTGCCAAAAATCTAGAGTCTTTACCGTGGCACACAAAACATTGTGTTATCAGAATTCTAGCCCCTCATCTTGCACTCAGAAGTCACTCCTTAGAGGCCTTCCCTGATGGGAAGTTACAGCTGGCATGTGCCTGTCTAGCAGTGGCTTATTAGACTAAAAGTCCACACTCCACACTCTTTTTTTTCTTTTTTTTTTTTTTGAAACGGAGTCTTGCTCTGTTGCCCAGGCTGGAGTGCAGTGGCACAATCTGGTTCACTGCAACCTCTATCTCCTGGATTCAAGCAATTCTCCTGCCTCAGCCTCCCAAATAGCTGAGATTACAGCCGTGTGCCACCACGCCCAGCTAATCACACTCCACACCTCTGACTGGGACACAAGTTCCTTCATTCTCAGGCCACTGCTGACAGCCTTGGCCTCTTCGTGCATTTACGCATCACGCCCTCAGCCCTTTCACACCTCAAATTCAGAATGGTTTACGTGTGGGTCTTCCAGTGGCTTCCCATTATCATCTAAGTAAAATCCTGGGCTCTATCCCCACTGTCCTTGTACCCCTGCCTTGGGAGTCTCCTTTGCTCTGTTGCAGACGCTACGTGTCTAAACCCAACTCAGATGATGAGGACGATGGGGATGAGAAAGGTGAGGGGGCTAACAGTCAGTGGGCGGGGGCTCTGGGTTAGGTCTTACCCACACGGGGTTCGTCTAGGTGTGCATTGCATCTTAGCACTTGAGGCTCACACCTTCCCATCTCTGACATCCTCCTGTCCTAGAAGATGACGAAGAGGATAAAGACGACGTCCCTGGGCCCTCAACTGGGGGCAGCCTCCGAGACCCTGAGCCAGAGCAGGCTGGGCCCAGCTCTGGAGTCACGAACAGGTGCCCATTCCTCCTGGACAATTGCCTTGGCACATCTCAGTGGCCCCCAAGGCGACGGCGCAAGCAGCTGTTCACCCTGCAGACGGTGAACTCCAATGGGACCAGTGACCGCACAACCTCCCCTGAAGAAGTCCATGGTATTCTCCTTTGGCTATCAATGAGGGCTGGGGAGGCCGGAGGGGAGATTTCCTGGCAGCAGGAACCATGACCATCTCTCCCTCGCCCCCAGCCCAGCCATACATTGCTATTGACTGGGAGCCAGAGATGAAGAAGCGTTACTATGACGAGATAGAGGCTGAGGTAAATGAGATCCCAGGGATGGGGGGTACTTTCAGCTCTTGCCCCTCAACTCTTCGTACGTCCTCTCCACAACTCCTCTAGCTAGGAACAGAGCCAAGAGATCCAGGTCAAGCCTGGTCTTGGGGCCTGAACACCTACTGAGAGCCCCAGGGCCTGAGGTTCCTAGCTTCAAAGTCGGTGCTCTGACCCACTCGGTGCGTGTCTCCCCTCCTGGGCCCCTACTCCCCATTTCTCCACCCGTCCTCACACCCGGCCACCTGGCTGTCTGCTCACCCAACCCTAGGGCTACGTGAAGCATGACTGCGTTGGGTACGTGATGAAGAAGGCTCCCGTGCGGCTGCAGGAGTGCATTGAGCTCTTCACCACTGTGGAGACCCTGGAGAAGGAAAACCCCTGGTGAGGGGCCAGAGCGGGGCCTGTGTGTGGGGGTTTCATTGGATGGCACTACTATATTTAGCTTTTTTTTTTTTTTTTTTTCGAGACAGAATCTGGCTCTGTCACCCAGGCTGAAGTGCAGTGGCGCAATCTCGGCTCGCTGCAACCTCTGCCTCCCAGGATCAAGCAATTCTCCTGCCTAAGCCTCCTGAGTAGCTGGGATTATAGGCACCCGTTACTATGCCTGGCTAATTTTTGTATTTTTAGTAGAAACAGGTTTCGCCATGTTGGCCAGGCTGGTCTCGAACTCCTGACCTCAGGTGATCTTCATCTTGTCTTCAGTTGTCTCTTCCAAAGTGCTGGACACTTCCAAAGTGCTGGAATTACAGGCGTGAGCCACCGCGCCCGGCCTATATTTAGCTTTTTAAATACACTTCTCTCCTCCCTCCTCCACGCTCAAACCTTTCCTGCTACCCTGGCCACCGATCCCCTGAGCAGACTCCTACCCCAGAGCCTTGACCTGGGCTGTTCCTTCTCCGGGAATGTTGTCTCCCAATGATCTTTTTTTTTTTTTTTTTTTTTTTTTTTTTTTTTTTGAGACGGAATCTCGCTCTGTAGCCCAGGCTGGAGTGCAGTGGCCGGATCTCAGCTCACTGCAAGCTCCGCCTCCCGGGTTCACGCCATTCTCCAGCCTCAGCCTCCCGAGTAGCTGGGACTACAGGCGCCCGCCACCTCGCCCGGCTATTTTTTTGTATTTCTTAGTAGAGACGGGGTTTCACAGTGTTAGCCAGGATGGTCTCGATCTCCTGACCTCGTGATCCGCCCATCTTGGCCTCCCAAAGTGCTGGGATTACAGGCTTGAGCCACCGCGCCCGGCCTGTTTCCCAATGATCTATAGGATTTCACTCCTTACGATGCTCAGGTCTCCGATCAAACGTGACCTCATCAGAGAGACCTCCTCTGACTACCCTGTTAGAAATCACCCTTCCCCACCATCCCCCTCCATCCCCTCTCTGTGCTCTTTTCTTCCTAGCCAAGCATTACTTTCTAGCCCAGCGATGCCACTTGATGTGATGCCTTCTATCCGCTTTTGTGTTATTTGTCATCGTTACAGTCAACTCCTTGAGGGTGAAGACTTAAGTTCACTGTGTGTTGCTTCTACCTGTTTATAATAGTGTTGAGTGTTCGGTTCATGCTCAGTAGGCACTTGCAGAATAAACAAAAAGAGTACCAAAACCATACTCTCTAGTCTCAGAAATAAGAGCAGCATGTCCGTGGAGCAGAAATGGAACAGAAATACAAAATAGTTCCAGAGGGTTAAACAAGCAATCAATAAATACTGCTGAATGAATGAATGACTAAAATATGAAGAGAGGAAACTAGAAGGATAGAGGTGGGCTCTAAAATAAGACTAGCATCTCATGGAGCAGAAATCAAACAAAAATGCAAAAAATAGTATGAGCGCATATAGAAAAGACAATCAGTAAGCACTTGACGAGTGAGTGAAAGGATTTTAACAGGAACAGAGCAAACTAGAATACTTGAAGGGCTAATAGTAAGAACAGTGTCTCTGTGAGCCAGACATGGCACATGAGAGGCAGTACAAAGGGCACACAGTAGGTGCTCAGAAAAAGTCTGTTTTGTCTGGGCATGCTGGCTCATGCCTGTCATCCCAGCACTTTGGGAGGCCGAGACAGGTGGATCACCTGAGGTCAGCCTGGCCAACATGGCGAAACCCTGTCTCTATTAAAAATACAAAAATTAGCCGAGCATGGTGGTGCACGCCTGTAATTCCAGCTACTCGGGAGGCTAAGGCAGGAGAATCCCTTGAACTCAGGAGGAGGAGGCTGCAGTAATCCAAGATTGTGCCACTGTACTCCAGCCTGGGCAACTGAGCGAGTCTCTGTCTCAAAAAAAAAAAAAAAAAAAAAAAAAAGAAAAAGTCCGTTTGCTGACTCGGGCTCTGTCTGTAGGTACTGCCCCTCCTGCAAGCAGCATCAGCTGGCCACCAAGAAGCTGGACCTGTGGATGCTGCCAGAGATTCTCATCATCCACCTGAAACGCTTTTCCTACACCAAGTTCTCCCGAGAGAAGCTGGACACCCTCGTGGAGTTTCCTATCCGGTCAGGGGCCAGGGAGAGGACGGCTGGGGGAAGACAGGGAAAGGAGGGGGTATACCAGTATTAACCCTCTCCCCACCCACAGGGACCTGGACTTCTCTGAGTTTGTCATCCAGCCACAGAATGAGTCGAATCCGGAGCTGTACAAATATGACCTCATCGCGGTTTCCAACCATTATGGGGGCATGCGTGATGGACACTGTATGTGCCAGGCTGTGGGTGGGGCCTGCTGGGGGGTGATCAGGACCTTCCCAGTGAGTGACTAGGGATGTGAGTCAGTGGTGAGGTTATCGTGGTGGGAGGAGTGACAGAGTGAATCTGGACACTTCTGAGAGGCAGGAAGGGTGGGTGAGGATAACTGTTCCTCCCTTTCAGACACAACATTTGCCTGCAATAAGGACAGCGGCCAGTGGCACTACTTTGATGACAACAGCGTCTCCCCTGTGAATGAGAATCAGATTGAGGTGTGACTTCCATCCTCCCTCCTCCCCTTCTTCCCTTCTGACTCCACCTTCCCACCCCTACAATCCACACTGACTCCTGTCCTCTCCCCACAGTCCAAGGCAGCCTATGTCCTCTTCTACCAACGCCAGGATGTGGCGCGACGCCTGCTGTCCCCGGCCGGCTCATCTGGCGCCCCAGCCTCCCCTGCCTGCAACTCCCCACCCAGCTCTGAGTTCATGGATGTTAATTGAGAGCCCTGGGTCCTGCCACAGACAAAAAAAAAAAAGCTCTCTCTGCAATCTTGCTTTTCGTGTCCACCCCTCTTCTCTTATTCGTGTTAGGTGCCCCCGCCAGACATTGCAGGCTTAGTTGTGGCTACTGTTTTCCTGTGCCGCTGCATCGCTCTCTCCCAGGAAAGAACAAGTCGTGTCTCCTCCTGGCAGTGCGCGCCCCGCCTGTGTTTGCCCTTCCAGCAGTTGACCCTCCCTTGTAGTCTTTATTTATGGTCGTGCCCTTCCCTCTCCTCAGCCCGGAGTGTTCTGCGTGGGTGGTGATGGGGGTTCACCTGAACACAGAGTGTATTTTCTTATTGAGGCCCTGTACCTTCTGCTGTCTGTGTGTATATATAAAGCGCCAGTCTGCTCCCCGCTCAGCAGTGTGGTTTTTTTCCTCCGTGGACTTAACTAAGCACCAGTTTTGTGCCTGTGTTCTGTGTTCTTATCAAAGGCCAGATGTGTGATGGGTGCAGCTCTGAGTGATTAGTGAGCACCCGCTGTGGGCTGGGTGCTGCTGTTCTAGGTGCTTTGAAAGCACCCTCTGTGTGCCAGGCACGATTCCAAGCACCAATGGCATGCCCAGTTTTTTCCAAAACATTTTCCAAATATTGATACGTAATCCTCACAACAATCTCATGCAAGAGTTGTCATTGCCAGTTTCGGATGGGGATACTGAGGTACAGAGGTCACAGAATTGCTCAGGGCCTGTCAGGAGGTCAGTATACCTCATGTGCTACCCTAGAGTCGGTGCCTGGAGGGGGTGCTTGGCTTGTCTGGACCCAGGACTGCTACTCAGTCTGCAGACATGAGCTGCCCTACAGGCAATGTGGAAATGGAGCATGTGGAACGGATGCATCCATGTGGGCAAATTTGTGGTTTGGGAACATAAAAATACTCCTCTCAGGCCAGGTGCCACCTGTTATCTGAACACTTTGGGAGGCCAAGACAGGAAGATCACTTGGGCCCTGGACGTTGAGGTTGCAGTGAGCTATGATCGTGCCACTGCGCTCCAGTCTGGGCCACAGAGTAAGACCCCATCTCAGAAAAAAAAGGATGCTATTCCCCAGACCACCTCACAGACCCCCAGTAGTGACCTCTGAGATTTTTGTCCCCCTGAGACCTCCTTTGGAGATGGTACATGCACTTGGCAGACCAGCCAACCTGCCAGGACAAATGTGCTGTGTATGTGTGGCCCCTGTTGTCAGCCCCCTCTCCCATCATGACCCCAGCTCCCACACCAGACAGGTTCCCTCCAACCTCACCCCAGACGACACTGAACACCTGCCGCAGGAATCTCGACATAAATTAGCCATCCAACCCCTCACACTGATGGATGAAGGGAATCCTGATCGGTGGCAGCTGAGGGACCATTCCCATGGGCAGGGCCTCAACACTCCCTCCAGCCTTCTGCCTTTGCACTGGGTCTGGGCGTACCCACTGTGAGGGTCACTCAGCCCCAGCATCGCCACCCACAAACCTCCCAGTCACTCTGCTGACACAGGCAGGAATCAAGGCAGTTGCTGTGAGGAGCCCAGCTCAAACTGACTTAGCAAAAGAAAGAACAGAAATACTAGTTTCAGGTATGACTGGATCCAGGAACTCAAAAGCTGTCATCGAAGGCTCATGAAGACCCTATGACTGAAGCACTACAATCAGTCACCCCATTTTGCAGATAAGGAAGCAGGCATAAAGAGCTAGGTGAGAATGGGCTCTAAGGGCCGGGCGCAGTGGCTCATGCCTGTAATGCCAGCACTTTGGCAAGCCGAGGTGGGTGGATCACCTGAGGTCAGGAGTTTGAGACCAGCCTGGCCAGCATGGCAAAACCCCATCTCTACTAAAAATACAAAAGTTACCCAGGTGTAGTGGCACCCGCCTGTAATCCCAGCCACTCAGGAGGCTGAGGCAGGACAATTGCTTGAACCCAGGAGGCGGAGGCTGCAGTGATCCGAGATCGCGCCACTGCACTCCAGCCTGGGTGAGAGTGAGACTCTGTCACAACAAAAAACAATGAACTGTAAGTACAGGAATGTCTCCTTCCTGGTAATCAGTCCCAGACCAAGCCCACCCAAAATAAATCCATTTGAAATAACTTCTCTGATCTAACCAGAAATCAAGACCTGCCTAAGACTCAGGAGAAATAAGAGACAACTGGCTCACGCCTGTAATCCCAGCATTTTGGGAGGCTGAGGCAGGCAGATTCCTTGAGGTCAGGAGTTTGAAACCAGCCTGTCCAACATGGCAAAAACCCATCTCTACTAAAACTACAAAAATTAGCCAGTCATGGTGGCACGTGTCTGTAGTCCCAGCTACTGGGAGGGTGAGGCAGAATTGCTTGAACCGGGGAGGTGGAGGTTGCAGTGAGCTGAGATAGCAACACTGCACTCCAGCCTGGGCAACAGAGCAAGACTCCATCTCACAAAAAAAAAAAAAAAAAAGGATATCATACTAAAGAACAGAAAACAGATGGACAAATAGAAAGCACATACATAACAATTTGCAAATAAGATCTCTGCTCCCTCCAGTTCAAGGGAGGGAACTGGGAATGAGGCAATTGCTTTGAGACTGACCAAGACTGCCATCGTGCCAGGCAGACAGTGGGGAAGGGCAAGTAAAAATGCCACAATACTCCCATTTTCAAGATGGCTTTTTCTTGGTTGGACAGTTGCTATAAACTTTTGACTGTTGTATTAGTCTGTTCTCACACTGCTATAAAAAAAATACCTGAGACTGGGGAATTTATAAAGAAAAGAGGCTTAATTGGCTCATGGTTCTGCAGGCTCTACAAGAAGTATGGCTGAAAGGTCTTAGGAAACTTACAATCACCGTGGAAGGTGAAGGGGAAGCAGGCACGTCTTACCTGTCCTGGAGCAGGAGGAAGAGAGTGAAGTGGGGAGGTGCCACACACTTTTAAACAACCAGATGTCATGAGAAGTCACTATCGTGACAACAGCAAGGGAGAAATCTGCCCCCATGATCCAATCACCTACCAGGTCACTCCTCCAACATTGGGGACTGCAATTCTGTATGAGAGTTGAGCAGAGACACAAGTCCAAACCATTATCAACTATTTTCCAGTGCTCTGACACAGTTAGCTGTAACAATTCTGCTTGCTTTTTGATGATTCTGTTAAGGAGCCAGAGCCTGGAGCTTCTTAGTCTTTCATTTTGGTGACATCACTCCTCTTTTTTTGTTTTTGTTTGTTTTTGTTTTTTGTTGTTGATGTTTTTTGTTTGTTTGTTTGAGACGGAGTCTCACTCTGTTGTCCAGGCTGGAGTGCAGTGGCACAATCTCAGCTAACTGCAAGCTCCGCCTCCCGGGTTCATGCCATTCTGCCTCAGCCTCCCGAGTAGCTGGGACTACAGGTGTGTGCCACTACACCCAGCTAATTTTTTCTATTTTTTGTATATATTTTTTTGGAGACAGAGTCTTGCTCTGTCACCCAGGCTGGAGTGCAATGGCGTGATCTCAGCTCACTGCAACCTCTGCCTCCTGGGTTCAAGTGATTCTCCTGCCTCAGCCTCCTGAGGAGCTGGAATTACAGGCACGCGTCACCACACCCGGCTAATTTTTGTATTAGTAGAGAGACAGGGTTTCACCATCTTGGCCAGGCTAGTCTCAAACTCCTGACCTCGTGATCCACCTGCCTCAGCCTCCCAAAATGCTGGGATTACAGGTGTGAGCCACCGTGCCCAGCCTAATTTTTTGTATTTTTAGTAGAGACAGGGTTTCACCATGTTGGCCAGGATGATCTCAATCTCTTGATCTCATGATCCGCCCGCCTTGGCCTCCCAAAGTCCTGGGATTACAGGTGTGAGCCACTGTGCCTAGCTGACATCACTCCTCTTGTATCTTATGGGTTTTGTTTTTTTTTTCCCCACACACAACATGGATTTTTATCTCTTTTTTTTTTGGATATAGGATCTCACTATGTTGCCCAGCCTGGTCTCAAACTCCTGGGCTCAAGGGATCTTCCCTGCCTTAGCCTCTCAAGTGGCTGGAATTATAGGCCTGAGCCACTCCACTATGCCTAGCCCGCTTTATCTTTTCTTGGCTTATCAACCATAACTCGGATTTTTGGTTTGAGTTTCTTTTGTAATTTTTAGAGATGGGGTTTTACTCTGTTGCCTAGGCTGGAGTACAGTGATGCAATCATGGCTCACTGAAGCCTTGGCTTCCTGGGCTCAAGCAATCTTCCCAGTTCAGTCCCCCAAGTAGCTAGGACTACAGGTGTGTGCCACCATGCCCAGCTATTTTTAATTTATTTTTATTTTTTGTAGAGATGGGGTCTTGCTATGTTGCCAGGGCTGGTCTCAAACTTCTGGGCTCAAGTGAGCCTCCTGCCTCAGCCTCCCAAAGTGCTGGGATTACAGGCATGAGCCACTATGCCCAGCCAACTGTTGGTTTTATTTTACTGATTGCTTTAGGGTTTATAGTATTCACCTTTAACTTATCATAGTCTACCTTCAAGTGATATATACCACTTTGCATACAGGAGTGCAGTGGCAAAATCATAGCTCACTACAGCCTTGAACTCCTGGGCTCAAGCACTCTTTCCACCTCAGCCTCCCAAAGCACTGGGATTCTATACACATGAAATACAATTTTTTGGCCGCGTGCAGTGGCTTACACCTGTAATCCCAGCACTTTGGGAGACTGAGGTGGGCAGATCACCTGAGGTCGGGAGTTTGAGACCAGCCTGACCAACATGGAGAAACCCCATCTCTACTAAAAATACAAAATTAGCCTGGTGTGGTGGCACATGCCTGTAATCTCAGCTACTCGAGAGGCTGAGGCAGGAGAATTGCTTGAACCTGGGAGGCGGAGGTTGCAGTGAGCCAAGATTGTGCCACTGCACTCCAGCCTAGTGACAGAGTGAGACTCCGTCTCAAAAAAAAAAAAAAAAAAAACAATTTTTTGTAGAGAGGGTCTCTGCAAAAAGCTACTGTGCCCCAACTCACCTTATTTTTTGAAAGATATTTTCATGAGTATAGAATTATAGGTTGACAGTTTATTTTAATTTTTTTAGTACTTTGAAGATTTTTTTTTTTTTTTTTTTTTTTTTTTTTTTTTTTTTTTTTTTTTTTAGATGGAGTCTTGCTCTGTCTCACCTAGGCTGGAGAGCAGTGGCGTGATCTTGGCTCACTGCAGCCTCCGCCTCCCAGGTTCAAGCAATTCTCCTGTCTCAGCCTCCTGAGTAGCTGGGACTACAGGTGTGTGCCACCATACCCGGCTGATTTTTGTATTTTTAGTAGGGACGGGGTTTCACCATGTTGGCCAAGCTGGTCTCAAACTCCCGACCTCAGGGGATCCACCTGCCTCGGCCTCCCAAAGTGCTGGGATTACAGGCGTGAGCCACCATGCCCGGCCACTTCCCAGT